AGTGTCACTTTAATATTTATTTCAAGAAATATTTCCTTCAAGGAAAGTTTGGCAGTCCAGAACCCTAAAGGGCCAATGCGTTAAAGTTATGTTGCAAATTAATGTGCGTTACATTAAGGCAGCCCATTGGAAATAATGGACTGCCAATGCACTCAAACATCCCAAAAATCGAACGTCACCAAATTTGTGATGCAACCCATGTGCGTTGGGGCACCATTCAGAATGAATGGCAATACAACTATGCATGTAACATACATTAATGTGCATTAGCACTACGCAGAGATATAAATGGGCTCTTAATCACCACTCTTTAAGTGCAGTAGATCAAGGAAGGAAAACGTTGAATTGCTGAGTGTAGAATGTGTATGTAGAAAGATGATCCAGCGACAGGGTTATGACAGTGTGAAGATCAGGACAGGTGTTTAAACATTTTTCAGAGGTTGCTCCGAGCAAAGAAAGTGAAGGCACTTCATTCGCTGACAGTACTGCACAATATTAACCCTTTACTAGAGCTCACCGAGCACAAAAATCAGACTAGCAGAGCCACAGTTAATCTGAGCTGAACACCCTCTCTATATTAGATTAATACAACCAATGTTTCACTATTGCAGGGGTAGTAACCATGGCACTCCAGATATTGTGGAACTACAAGTGCCATGAGGCATTGCAAGACTGACAGCCACAGGCATGACTCCTAGAGGCACTGGCATGATGGGAGTTGTAGTTTCACCACAACTGTTTGTTTACCCCTGCCCTGTTGAAAGGACATCTCCTGCTGTTATTGAAGTGTGAAATGCGGCAAATCTTCATACACCAATTACCAGAATTCTCACAACTCTAACCTGTTGATGAAAACCTTCTACATAACACAATCTTACCTCTACTTTTATCATCCGGAATGTTGTATTTACAAACACACAAATCTAAGTGTGCACAGAAGCAGAATATAGGTGATTGCTACATGTGTATCATTAATAAACATGATCCTTTCACCATCACTATGGTAATGTAGAATGTATTTGTAATATGTATAACTGGGAGTAACACTGACCCTTTCATCATGTATGAGATCCAGCATGACATTATTATTATACAGGATTTATATTGTGCAGCACTTTATTACTTTTACTATGCAATTCAACAGTTTTCTAGTCTTTTCATTTAATGAATTGATTTTGAACTACAATTTATTTGATGACTTCCCAAAGGGTGACTAGAACTCAAAGCAGTTTTATCTTTCAGTGGGAAGATTTACTAAAGGAGTGGAGACTGTTCGCCAAGCAAATCTGGCAACACTGTCTTTACCTAAATCTACCAATCGTGCTATAAAACATGTTTTTTTTTCTTTTTCATTTCCTTTGCAGATTATTAAATGTTCAGAGTTCACCTTATTTTATTTTAAAGGAAACATTTTTCACGGTGCACATCACACTTTATTGCATGGAAAGCCTTTACTCCTTTAGTAAACCAAAAACACTGCCTAAGCAGGAACGCAACTGAGAATCTAATCACCTATTTTAACAAATATTCAAAATACTTAGTGACACTAAACTCAGGACTTGAATCTTAAGAATACATTGCCCTAACTAGTAACAAAAATGTATCTTATTTGTGTATCACTCGGCTGTAGATTCTCAAATTATCTCTGACTTGGTGCTGACACTGTCCTTCCTTCTGGAGGGTGGCTACTTTTGTTCACCATGTTCCCTGTGTGTGTTGTAAAGTAGTCACCGCTCCAAGCTTGCTCTTGTGATGGACTACAATCTCAATACAAATTAGTAAACTAAACATGAGGTTGTAGTCTATTCAGGGAGTGAGCTTGGAGCAGTGGCTACTTTACAACACACTCAGGGATCATGGGGAACAAAAGTAGCCACCCTCCAGAAGGAAGGACAGTGTCGGCATGAATTCAGAGATGATTTGAGAATCTACAGCCGAGTGATAGACAAATAAGATACATTGTTGTTATTAGTAAGATACTTGAATGTATTTTTAGTCTTTAATTCCTGAGTTTAGTGTTACTTTAATGAATTTTGAACTACAAATCCTTGGTTGACTAGAACTCAAAACACAATTTTACCCATCAGTGGGAGGATTTACTAAAGGAATAGAGACTGTTCACCAAGCTAAGTAAATTTAGGTAACACTGTCTTCACCTAAATCTACCAGTCGTGCTGTAAAACATCTTTTTTATGTTGTATTTCCCTCGCAGATTATTAGATGTTAGTTTAGTTTTTTGTTTTTTTTAGGGAACATTTTTCCCGGCGCACATCACACTTTACTGCATGAAAAGCCTCTACTCCTTTAGTAAACCAACAACACTGCCTAAGCAGGAACGCAACTAGAATCTATCACCTATTTTAACGAATATTCAAAATACTTTCAGGGAAAATGTATGAAATCGGGCTTGTAATAATTCTAGTAATGGAATTGTTAACTGACTGCTGATTCATGATAACATTAAGAGACAGGAATGAATGTATATGTAATTACTACAGAAACATGTGTGTGCGTTTGTGAACCTGTGAGGATTTTGCACCAGAGCAATGTAAAAAACACGAGGGCGATCTTTTGGAAGAAAAACACAGCGAGTCCAGTTCCTTGACTTATTTTTTACAGACATACCATGACCTGGAGGAATGAGAACCTTCACAGACCGATCTTTTGAAAGTTCTCACTAAAAAAAAAATGTTCCGATGTTTTTTTAAATGAATTGTGAATTCCGCGAAATTCAAGAGATCGCTTTGAGTGCATATTTACCATGACCTGGATGAATGAGAACCTTCACAGACACAGTGTAATCTGTAGTTTAGTAAACTTATTATAGGAGTTGGTTTTATACAGAGTTTGTTAACCCACATCAACCAATCAGATCCATCCTTGGAGCTGTCGCATCAATGGGTGCTGCTTGGCTGCTTTGGGTTACTGTGCACTGATTTATGTAAATGATGCTGTATCTATGTCTGCAGCAGGGATAGGGAAACTTGGCTCACCAGCTGTTGTGGAACTACAAGTCCCATGAGGCATGGCAAGACTCTGACAAGCACAGGCATGACTCCCAGAGGCATTCTGGGATTTGTAGTTTGAGCACAGCTGGCGTGCTGAGGCTGACTACCCTTCATCTACAGCTACCCATCCGTATTCCTAACGTGACCAGACGTTTGTAAACCTGACACAACGTAACGGCAACACACACAAAACAAAAGCCAACGGGTTTGCATTTGAATTTGAAAATATTTTTTTTTATTTGAATAGCAAATTGTTACACAGTTGAAACAGTTCTATTGAAGCTCTCTATAAATAGCTAGCAGATAAGAAAATAATGTGTGTAGAAAAGAGATTGCTTCTAGACATATAAGAGCTATCCGTTTAACAAGAGCCATCTGCCCCTTAAAGCACAGTCAATGCAAATAGCCATTTGTTGAGGAATGTATCAAGGCGCAACCTTTTCCTTTCAGTGGAATAATAATAATAATAATAATTAAAAAACATAATACAAATAAATAAAAAATAAAACGGTTGCAACTCGGAGCGGAATGTCTGAACACCGAAAAGAAGAAGAAAAACAAAAAGTCTCCAATTCCAACACAACCTTGATCAAATAATATATCTGTCATTCACATTAATAAATAAAGGAATAAATAAACATAATTAATATTAAAATCAACATATACATTTGGAGAGTAAAGCATGTCTGTGGTCCCACCAGAGAAGATTTGGAGGAGCGTTAAAAAAAAAAAAAAAATCTAAAAAAAACAAAAACAAATAGTTTATATACAAGAAAAAGTTGTGGCGTTGTACGGCGGCGTGATGATTCCTGGCTGGCCCCTAGATGGTTGAAGTCATAAAAAGGCATTTTTGTTTCTTTTCTTTCTCTCTACAAAGTTAAAAGACAAGGCAATTGTGGCTAAAGACTAAATCGATGCCCCCCTTCCCCCCTCCCCCGCTCCTAAGCAGACTTGTTCACACAAAATAAAGACTAGAATCCAGCAGTTCACAAGTCGTCATAAAGCTAATGGTGTCGGTCGTTTCGGTTATCAAGGCAGTTATTTCTCGACATCGACTGGAAATAGGAACCCGTAGGCTACGAAAACACATTGGGAAAAGACGAGAGCCAAGGGAGACCCAAAAACAAAAAGGACGAGAAAACGATAGAAAGACCTTCGCCCCTTGTCTACGGCTAGAAGAGCGGGCAAAGCGGGCACAGACAGGGGACGAATATAAAGAACCCACCCTGCAATGACCTGCGGGTCATAGTGTAGCACACCACATACATGTA